GAGACATTCCACTCGAATACGTCAAGATGTTTTGTAACAGATTTTGAATGAACGGGTGGGAGCTCTCGCATTTATCGTCTGCGTATTCGATGATGACTCGACTGCACTGTTCGACGAGTTTTGGGGGGTTCTCCAACATCGGAAATACAGACTCAAACAAGTTTTGGTTCAATCCAGTTTTAAGTGCTCGGACTACTGGAGTGATGTAGACGTCTACGTCCCACGGAATGATCTTGTGGTTGTTCAATAGAATGATTACACACACTGTAATAGTTTCTTTCGTTAACACTTGTCGACTGTTTTCAATTCCAATGTGTTCCTTTACTTGATTTGAGTCTTTTTCATTCTCACACTTCACCGCCTTTTCTTTCATTTTATTACAATTTTGTAGTGCGCATTCAACTACTTTGGTATTTTCCATTAAAAACACCGTTTTGTCGACTTTCTCTTCATTTTTGAGTAAAACTGAAGCCGCCAAATTGACTAACTCGCTCTCCTCTAAAAGTAACTCCTTGAACGTTTTGAGTACCTCGGAAAATTGCGACGTCGTCATTTGACTCGGCAAACTTTCAAGTCGCGCAATCCCAAGCGCCTGTTTCCCACCTTTTGTAACGGAAAGTCTGAGCGCGTCGCCCTCCCACTCGACAAATTTGTCGACGTTTTTGATGAATAAAATCGCGTTTTGGCGAAGGGTGGAATTCCCAAGAAATCGAATAACATTTTGTAAAACATTTTCGGGGATCTTTTTGAGTTGGGGCTCTTCGTAGATCACTTTTGACACGTCACCGTTCTCAACACTTCTTGGCGTCTTTACTCCACGTGGCGTCTTTTCTTTACTTTCATTGTTGAGTGTGCCCTTCTCTTTCTCTTGTGGAGTATTCACTTTCCCCGGAGTTATTTGTATAGTCACTAAATCGCCATCATTTTTTGAGACATTGCCAAGGGTCTTATTAATATTCACCAAATCGGCGTTTATAAATACTTTCACCTCATAATTATTACTATTTATAAGTTCTATTGCTTTACCTATAGTATCACTCGCATAGTCGTCATGTAATAGATCATTTATAGTATCAGTAACTATTGTTGTTAGTACTGTGTTTGCGTCATAGACTTTCCCACTCATATTATAACATGAATCGACACTCACAAAATTCTTGTGGATGTCTTTCTGTGTCTCTTCAATTAAATTCTTCTCAAATTTAGTCATCCCAACAAGTCCAGAAAAGAATTTTGTTTGAATGGTAGCTTCTCTTTGTTCTTCGCCTTCTCTGACTTTTCGGTTGATTCGAATGAACTTTCTTTCAGGCGTTATTTGTTTGGAAATGACTTTTGTTGCACTAAATCTCCGCAGCACATTTCCCGCCATTTGGGCCCCAATTTGGCTCGGATTCTTTTCAAACGCCTCTACCGCAAATTCAACAAACAAATCTTCTTTCCCTTCAAACAGTTGACTGAGCACATTTCCTATTAAATAGTCGTCGCTCTTCATCCCGATATCAAAGAGCATTTTAACGCCATATAACCCCTCAAATTTAAACGACACAATTCCCTTTTCTTTATCCAAAACAAGTGCTTTAGACAGCGCGTTATATTCCAGAAATAAATCAATCACAAACCGGCACGCATTTGCAGGCAAATTCTCGTATTCCTCCGCTATCCTCATCGCCTGTTGTGCCCGTTTCAACGTCCAAATATTATTCGTCCATTTTGTGACCTCCAAAAATCCCGAAATTTTGAGGAACCCCAGCAGACACGCTCCAAAGACGTTTTCATCGGTTTTCCCCAATTTCACAAGACTTTCCTCCAAGTGTGGGACGTCGCTTAGAACGGCTTTTTGGATCATCAGCGACACTTCCTCGCTCTCCTCTTCGAGCGGCGAAGTCGCCGAAAGGACATCGAAGACCACTTTAATGCGTTCATCTCCACAATTGTTCTTATAGTGTGCCACTAAGATCTTCCGGAGGGCTTGCGCGTTCGTTTTCTGGTGCGCAATTTCTATGAGAACGTCGTGCAAGTTGGAAATCTCCTCCACCGCTAAGCCAAGGGAGGGGACGACATACTGTGACGGGAGAAATGTGGACTTCAGTAATTTACAGAGGAGGGACGTGGCATACCAGTTCATGTTCTTTGCACTCTCTAAAGACGTGCTGAGAAGTTTGTTCTTCTCCGTCGCAGATAAGGAAGAATAGATCTTGACAAGTATGTCTTGAGCACGGAGGACTATGGCGCCAGACATTCGGGACGCGGTGTTGTATAAAGTTATTCCAAAGTTGGGAGGGAGGGAGCCGAATATGAAGATTCGAAAAATCACTGGTAAGGAGTGACGTAATAACTCTTCGTGAGGACACTTTAAAACTAATTGAACGATTTTGGGGGAATAAATTTTCATAAATTGAGTGTACTCCCGTTTACTCATTATTTTGTGGGAGTTTTGAAAGGGTTCAGAACTTTTAAAAAAGGAAATAAAAGATTCTTTAAGACCAGTCGAATCATATTCCACACACTCTTCTTCAAATTTTAAAAGAGCTTGAATGTTCAGATCAACACGGGGACTGTCTAAGTTCTTTACTATATCTATTGCACGGTGCCCAAAATCGTCTGGCGGCGTGGGTTTCTTGAGTTGTTGGGTCGCCATTTTGTTTAATTTTTAGTTCGTTCTATTTATTGTTTTATTTATTCTGCATTTTTTTAAAAAATAAAGATATTTAATTTACAGTCTTCTAAATCTCTTCTTTTTCTCCTTTCAAAACTCGGTCTTATATTTTAAAGCCAAAATATTAAATAAATTGAAGTGTTTTTGTTCGTGTTTAGAATGAATGATTTTATTGTTATTTGTAACTATATATATTAAGTTCAAAACTATTATATAATAATTTTTCTGTAATTCTTTTGAAAGATGAAATCGAGTGTTAATGAGGTTTTTCAAGAGGAAATAAAATGTGTTGATTCATAAAAATGGTTTTTATATAGTTCAAACTATTAATTTATAGTTTAAAATATTATTATTATTGATTTCGTATTAAAAAAAATTAATAAATGGGAGTGAGGTTTGACATTTTTTTAAGTTTTAATAAAAAAAATAATTTTTATTATTTTATAATAATTTTTACCAATTATAATTAATTATATCATATTTTAATATATTTAACTTAATATAGTTAAATATAATTAATAAAACTAGTTAATATTATTTAATTATAATTTAATTAATTTTTATTATATATATATATTTATTATTTTAATTTAATTTAATATGTTAAACTAATTTGTTAACATACACTTTGAGTTAATTTACTACAAAATAACACTATTTTTATAATTGTAAAACAAATGTCGTGTTATTTTGGTATATAATCAGTTTTCAACATTATTTGATATTTATATTAAACAAACTATATGCATAATTGTTAATTGTTATGAAGATTTATGAAATTGTTTAAATTGTATCTTTTTTTTAATTTCACATTATATTCAATCTGAAACCGTTGTCCACTCTCCAACGTTGTACAGGCATTTTGGACCTTCAAAACTGGAATATTTTTCTGGAAAC